CCATTGAGAGAAGTTGTTTTTGTCTTCCAATAGCTTGATGATGTCAACAAGGCAGTTGTTGCCTTCTGGGGGTGTAAACGTCAATATAGCCACCGCACTCAGAGCAAATCTCGTGCTGATTATTAGGTATTTAGAGTGGAGAGCTCTCAAGCAACCATGAAGGTACTTCACCGCTCCATCTTCTGATCTGAAGTCACACAACATACCCTTTAGGCCACACAGTACCAGCTTCCTTGGAGTTCATTCAGTAGCTCCATTGAGAGAAGTTTTCAATTTTTTCTTACAGTACAAGGTTGATAACGTCAACAAAGAGGGTGTGGCCCGTACAGGGGTTGAACCCGTGACCTTGGCGTTATTAGCACCACGCTCTAACCAACTGAGCTAACCGGCCTTGGGATTCTACTGAATTTCATGGCATTATTTTTTCATTCCTAATGACAAAAACGTGCGATTATCAGTTGTTGCACCAAACGGTGATATGTGGAATAATCTGAAAAATGCAAGGGTAAAGATCGTTCAAGCAACCACAAAGGGACTTGAACCCTCAATCTTCTGCTGCAGTTACCTTTGGGCTCAGTCAGTAGCTCGATTGAGAGAAGTTGTTTTTGTCTTCCATACATTAAGAGCTTGATAATGTCAACAAGGCATTTGTGGCCTTCCGGGGGTTGTAAACCGCAATATTGTCACTGCGCTCAGAGCAAATCCTGTGCTGATTATTTCTCATTTGAAGTTTTCAATTTTTTCTTACAGTACAAGGTTGATAAAGTCAACACAGAAATTGTGGCCCGTACGGGGGTTGAACCCGTGACCTTGGCGTTATTAGCACCACGCTCTAACCAACTGAGCTAACCGGCCTTCACGTGCTTCAGGGTTTCATGTCGTTATTTTCTCATTCCTAATGACAATAACCTGCTACAAGTATGATGTTCAGTTGTTGCACGAAACCGTTCTATGTGGAAAAATGGTACTTCTTAAACAAGATTCTGAGGGTTGAGATCTTCCAAGCAACCACGAAGGGACTTGAACCCTCAATCTTCTGATCAGAAGTCAGACGCCTTATCCTTTAGGCCACGCGGTTCTAGATTCAGTCAGTAGCTCCATTGAGAGAAGTTTTCAATTTTTTCTTACAGTACAAGGTTGATAATGTCAACAAAGAGGGTGTGGCCCGTACGGGGGTTGAACCCGTGACCTTGGCGTTACAGAGCAAATCTTGTGCTGATTATTAGGTATTTAGAGTGGAGAGCTCTCAAGCAACCATGAAGGTACTTGACCGCTCCATCTTCTGATCTGAAGGCACACAACATACCCTTTAGGCCACACAGTACCAGCTTCCTTGGAGTTCATTCAGTAGCTCCATTGAGAGAAGTTTTCAATTTGTTCTTACAGTAGAAGGTTGATAACGTCAACTAAGAAGTTGTGGCCCGTACGGGGGTTGAACCCGTGACCTTGGCGTTATTAGCACCACGCTCTAACCAACTGAGCTAACCGGCCTTCACGTGCTTCAGGGTTTCATGTCGTTATTTTCTCATTCCTAATGACAATAACCTGCTAGAAGTATGATGTTCAGTTGTTGCACGAAACCGTTCTATGTGGAAAAATGGTACTTCTTAAACAAGATTCAGAGGGTTGAGATCTTCCAAGCAACCACGAAGGGACTTGAACCCTCAATCTTCTGATCCGAAGTCAGACGCCTTATCCTTTAGGCCACGCGGTTCTAGATTCAGTCAGTAGCTCCATTGAGAGAAGTTTTCAATTTTTTCTTACAGTACAAGGTTGATAATGTCAACAAAGAGGGTGTGGCCCGTACGGGGGTTGAACCCGAGACCTTGGCGTTATTAGCACCACGCTCTAACCAACTGAGCTAACCGGCCTTGGGATTCTACTGAAATTCATAGCATTATTTTTTCATTCCTAATGACAAAAACGTGCGATTATCAGTTGTTGCACCAAACGGTGATATGTGGAATAATCTGAAAAATGCAAGGGTAAAGATCGTTCAAGCAACCACAAAGGGACTTGAACCCTCAATCTTCCGATCCAGTTACCTTTGGGCTCAGTCAGTAGCTCCATTGAGAGAAGTTGTTTTTGTCTTCCATACATTAATAGCTTGATAATGTCCACAAGGCATTTGTGGCCTTCCGGGGGTTGTAAACCGCGATATTGTCACCGCGCTCAGAGCAAATCCTGTGCTGATTATTTCTCATTTGAAGTTTTCAATTTTTTCTTACATTACAAGGTTGATAAAGTCAACACAGAAATTGTGGCCCGTACGGGGCTGAACCTGTGACTTTGGCGTTATTAGCACCACGCTCTAACCACCTGAGCTAACCGGCCTTGACGTGCTTCAGGGTTTCATGTCGTTATTTTCTCATTCCTAATGACAATAACTTGCTACAAGTATGATGTTCAGTTGTAGCACGAAACCGTTCTATGTGGAAAATTTGTACTTCTTAAACAAGATTCAGAGGGTTGAGATCTTCCAAGCAACCACGAAGGGACTTGAACCCTCAATCTTCTGATCCGAAGTCAGACGCCTTATCCTTTAGGCCAAGCTGTTCCAGTTTCCTTGGGGTTCAGTCAGTAGCTCCATTGAGAGAAGTTGTTTTTGTCTTCCATACATTAATAGCTTGATGATGTCAACAAGGCAGTTGTTGCCTTCTGGGGGTGTAAACGTCGATATAGCCACCGCACTCAGAGCAAATCTTGTGCTGATTATTAGGTATTTAGAGTGGAGAGCCCTCAAGCAACCATGAAGGTACTTGACCGCTCCATCTTCTGATCTGAAGTCACACAACACACCCTTTAGGCCACACAGTACCAGCTTCCTTGGAGTTCATTCAGTAGCTCCATTGAGAGAAGTTTTCAATTTGTTCTTACAGTAGAAGGTTGATAATGTCAACTAAGAAGTTGTGGCCCGTACGGGGGTTGAACCCGTGACCATGGCGTTATTAGCACCACGCTCTAAACAACTGAGCTAACCGGCCTCGAGGTGATCCAGAATATCATGTCTTTATTTTCTCATTCCTAATGAAATAACTTGCTAAATGTGTGATGTTCGGTTGTTGCACCAAACGGTACTATGTGGAATAATCTCAAAAAGCTACTGCTTAAACAAGATTCAGAGTGGAGAGATCTTCCAAGCAACCACGAAGGGACTTGAACCCTCAATCTTCTGATCCGAAGTCAGACGCCTTATCCTTTAGGCCACGCGGTTCCAGTTTTAGTCAGTAGCTCCATTGAGAGAAGTTTTCAATTTTTTCTTACAGTACAAGGTTGATAAAGTCAACATAGAAATTGTGGCCCGTACGGGGGTTGAACCCATGACCTTGGCGTTATTAGCACCACGCTCTAACCAACTGAGCTAACCGGCCTTGACGTGCTTCAGGGTTTCATGTCGTTATTTTCTCATTCCTAATGACAATAACCTGCTACAAGTATGATGTTCAGTTGTAGCACGAAACCGTTCTGTGTGGAAAAATGGTACTTCTTAAACAAGATTCAGAGGGTTGAGATCTTCCAAGCAACCACGAAGGGACATGAACCCTCAATCTTCTGATCCGAAGTCAGACGCCTTATCCTTTAGGCCACGCGGTTCCAGTTTCAGTCAGTAGCTCCATTGAGAGAAGTTTTCAATTTTTTCTTACAGTACAAGGTTGATAATGTCAACAAAGAGGGTGTGGCCCGTACGGGGGTTGAACCCGTGACCTTGGCGTTATTAGCACCACGCTCTAACCAACTGAGCTAACCGGCCTTGGGATTCTACTGAAATTCATAGCATTATTTTTTCATTCCTAATGACAAAAACGTGCGATTATCAGTTGTTGCACCAAACGGTGATATGTGGAATAATCTGAAAAATGCAAGGGTAAAGATCGTTCAAGCAACCACAAAGGGACTTGAACCCTCAATCTTCTGATTCAGTTACCTTTGGGCTCAGTCAGTAGCTCCATTGAGAGAAGTTGTTTTTGTCTTCCATACATTAATAGCTTGATAATGTCAACAAGGCATTTGTGGCCTTCCGGGGGTTGTAAACCACAATATTGTCACCGCGCTCAGAGCAAATCCTGTGCTGATTATTTGGTATTTAAAGTTTTCAATTTTTTCTTACAGTACAAGGTTGATAAAGTCAACACAGAAATTGTGGCCAGTACGGGGGCTGAACACGTGACCTTGGCGTTATAAGCACCTCGCTCTAATCAACTGAGCTAACCGGCCTTCACGTGCTTTAGGGTTTCATGTCGTTATTTTCTCATTCCTAATGACAATAACTTGCTACTGGTATGATGTACAGTTGTTGCACCAAACGGTTCTATGTGGAGTAATCTCAAAATGGTACTTCTTAAACAAGATTCTGAGGGTTGAGATCTACCAAGCAACCACGAAGGGACTTGAACCCTCAATCTTCTGATCCGAAGTCAGACGCCTTATCCTTTAGGCCACGCGGTTCCAGTTTCCTTGGGGTTCAGTCAGTAGCTCCATTGAGAGAAGTTGTTTTTGTCTTCCATACATTAATAGCTTGATGATGTCAACAAGGCAGTTGTTGCCTTCTGGGGGTGTAAGCACTCAGAGCAAATCTTGTGCTGATTATTAGGTATTTAGAGTGGAGAGCTCTCAAGCAACCATGAAGGTACTTGACCGCTCCATCTTCTGATCTGAAGTCACACGACATACCCTTTAGGCCACACAGTACCAGCTTCCTTGGAGTTCATTCAGTAGCTCCATTGAGAGAAGTTTTCAATTGGTTCTTACAGTAGAAGGTTGATAACGTCAACTAAGAAGTTGTGGCCCATACGGGGGTTGAACCCGTGACCTTCGCGTTATTAGCACCACGCTCTAACCAACTGAGCTAACCTGCCTCGAGGTGATCCACAATATCATGTCTTTTCTCATTCCTAATGAAATAACTTGCTAAATGTGTGATGTTCGGTTGTTGCACCAAACGGTACTATGTGGAATAATCTCAAAAAGCTACTGCTTAAACCAGATTCAGAGTGGAGAGATCTTCCAAGCAACTACGAAGGGACTTGACCCCTCAATCTTCTGATCCGAAGTCAGACGCCTTATCCTTTAGGCCACGGGGTTCCAGTTTCAGTCAGTAGCTGAGTGAAGTTTTCAATTTTTTCTTACAGTACAAGGTTGATAAAGTCAACACAGAAATTGTGGCCAGTACGGGGGCTGAACACGTGACCTTGGTGTTATTAGCACCTCGCTCTAATCAACTGAGCTAACCGGCCTTCACGTGCTTTAGGGTTTCATGTCGTTATTTTCTCATTCCTAATGACAATAACTTGCTACACGTATGATGTACAGTTGTTGCACCAAACGGTTCTATGTGGAATAATCTCAAAATGGTACTTCTTAAACAAGATTCAGAGGGTTGAGATCTTCCAAGCAACCACGAAGGGACTCGAACCCTCAATCTTCTGATCAGAAGTCAGGCGCCTTATCCTTTAGGCCAAGCTGTTCCAGTTTCCTTGGGGTTCAGTCAGTAGCTCCATTAAGAGAAGTTGTTTTTGTCTTCCATACATTAATAGCATGATGATGTCAACGAGGCATTTGTGGCCTTCTGGGGGTGTAAACGTCGATATAGCCACCGCACTCAGAGCAAATCTTGTGCTGATTATTAGGTATTTAGAGTGGAGAGCTCTCAAGCAACCATGAAGGTACTTGACCCCTCCATCTTTTGATCTGAAGTCACAGAACATACCCTTTAGGCCACACAGTACCAGCTTCCTTGGAGTTCATTCAGTAGCTCCATTGAGAGAAGTTTTCAATTTGTTCTTACAGTAGAAGGTTGATAACGTCAACTAAGAAGTTGTGGCCCGTACGGGGGTTGAACCCGTGACCTTGGCGTTATTAGCACCACGCTCTAACCAACGGAGCTAACCGGCCTCGAGGTGATCCAGAATTTCATGTCTTTATTTTCTCATTCCTAATGACAATAACTTGCTAAATGTATGATGTTCGGTTGTTGCACCAAACGGTACTATGTGGAATAATCTCAAAAAGATACTGCTTGAACCAGATTCAGAGGGTAGACATCTTCCAAGCAACCACGAAGGGACTTGAACCCTCAATCTTCTGATCCAGTTACCTTTGGGCTCAGTCAGTAGCTCCATTGAGAGAAGTTGTTTATGTCTTCCATACATTAGTAGCTTGATAATGTCAACAAGGCATTTGTGGCCTTCCGGGGGTTGTAAACTGCGATATTGTCACCGCGCTCAGAGCAAATCCTGTGCTGATTATTTCGTATTCAGAGTGGAGATCTCTCAAGCAACCACGAAGTGACTTGAACTCTCCATCTTCTGATCCGAAGTCAGACATCTAAACCTTTAGGCCACGCGGTTCCAGTTTCCTTGGGGTTCAGTCAGTAGCTCCATTGAGAGAAGTTTTCAATTTGTTCTTACAGTACAAGGTTGATAATGTCAACTAAGAAGTTGTGGCCCGTACGGGGGTTGAACCCGTGACCTTGGCGTTATTAGCACCACACTCTAACCAACTGAGCTAACCGGCCTCGAGGTGATCCAGAATATCATGTCTTTTTTTTCTCATTCCTAATGAAATAACTTGCTAAATGATTGACGTTCAGTTGTTACACCAAACGGTACTATGTGGAATAATCTCAAAAAGCTACTGCTTGAACCAGATTCGGAGGGTAGAGCTCTTCGAAGCAACGACGAAGGGACTTGTAGTATCAGTAGCTCCATTGAGAGAAGTTGTTTTTGTCTTCCATACATTAATAGCTTAATAATGTCAACAAGGCATTTGAGGCCTTCCGGGGGTTGTAAACCGCGATATTGTCACCGCGCTCAGAGCAAATCCTGTGCTGATTATTTCTCATTTAAAGTTTTCAATTTTTTCTTACAGTACAAGGTTGATAAAGTCAAAACAGAAATTGTGGCCTTGACATGCTTCAGTGTTTCATGTCGTTATTTTCTCATTCCTAATGACAATAACTTGCTACACGTATGATGTTCAGTTGTTGCACGAAACGGTTCTATGTGGAAAAATGGTACTTCTTAAACAAGATTCAGAGGGTTGAGATCTTCCAAGCAACCATGAAGGGACTTGAACCCTCAATCTTCTAATCCGAAGTCAGACACCTTATCCTTTAGGCCACGCGGTTCCAGTTTCCTTGGGGTTCAGTCAGTAGCTCCATTGAGAGAAGTTTTCAATTTGTTCTTACAGTACAAGATTGATAATGTCAACAAAGAAGTTGTGGCCCGTACGGGGGTTGAACCCGTGACCTTGGCGTTATTAGCACCACGCTCTAACCAACTGAGCTAACCGGCCTCGAGGTGCTTCAGAATTTCATGTAGTTATTTTCTCATTCCTAATGACAATAACTTGCTACATGTATGACGTTCAGTTGTTGCGGCAAACGGTTCTATGTGGAATAATCTCAAAATGCTACTGCTTAACCCACGCAGTACCAGCTTCCTTGGAGTTCAGGCAGTAGCTCCTTTGAGAGTAGTTGTTTTTGTCTTCCATACATTAATAGCTTGATGATGTCAACAAGGCAGTTGTTGCCTTCTGGGGGTGTAAACGTCGATATAGCCACCGCACTCAGAGCAAATCTTGTGCTGATTATTAGGTATTTAGAGTGGAGAGCCCTCAAGCAACCATGAAGGTACTTGACCGCTCCATCTTCTGATCTGAAGTCACACAACACACCCTTTAGGCCACACAGTACCAGCTTCCTTGGAGTTCATTCAGTAGCTCCATTGAGAGAAGTTTTCAATTTGTTCTTACAGTAGAAGGTTGATAATGTCAACTAAGAAGTTGTGGCCCGTACGGGGGTTGAACCCGTGACCATGGCGTTATTAGCACCACGCTCTAAACAACTGAGCTAACCGGCCTCGAGGTGATCCAGAATATCATGTCTTTATTTTCTCATTCCTAATGAAATAACTTGCTAAATGTGTGATGTTCGGTTGTTGCACCAAACGGTACTATGTGGAATAATCTCAAAAAGCTACTGCTTAAACAAGATTCAGAGTGGAGAGATCTTCCAAGCAACCACGAAGGGACTTGAACCCTCAATCTTCTGATCCGAAGTCAGACGCCTTATCCTTTAGGCCAAGCTGTTCCAGTTTCCTTGGGGTTCAGTCAGTTGCTCCATTGAGAGAAGTTGTTTTTGTCTTCCAATAGCTTGATGATGTCAACAAGGCAGTTGTTGCCTTCTGGGGGTGTAAACGTCAATATAGCCACCGCACTCAGAGCAAATCTCGTGCTGATTATTAGGTATTTAGAGTGGAGAGCTCTCAAGCAACCATGAAGGTACTTCACCGCTCCATCTTCTGATCTGAAGTCACACAACATACCCTTTAGGCCACACAGTACCAGCTTCCTTGGAGTTCATTCAGTAGCTCCATTGAGAGAAGTTTTCAATTTTTTCTTACAGTACAAGGTTGATAACGTCAACAAAGAGGGTGTGGCCCGTACAGGGGTTGAACCCGTGACCTTGGCGTTATTAGCACCACGCTCTAACCAACTGAGCTAACCGGCCTTGGGATTCTACTGAATTTCATGGCATTATTTTTTCATTCCTAATGACAAAAACGTGCGATTATCAGTTGTTGCACCAAACGGTGATATGTGGAATAATCTGAAAAATGCAAGGGTAAAGATCGTTCAAGCAACCACAAAGGGACTTGAACCCTCAATCTTCTGCTGCAGTTACCTTTGGGCTCAGTCAGTAGCTCGATTGAGAGAAGTTGTTTTTGTCTTCCATACATTAAGAGCTTGATAATGTCAACAAGGCATTTGTGGCCTTCCGGGGGTTGTAAACCGCAATATTGTCACTGCGCTCAGAGCAAATCCTGTGCTGATTATTTCTCATTTGAAGTTTTCAATTTTTTCTTACAGTACAAGGTTGATAAAGTCAACACAGAAATTGTGGCCCGTACGGGGGTTGAACCCGTGACCTTGGCGTTATTAGCACCACGCTCTAACCAACTGAGCTAACCGGCCTTCACGTGCTTCAGGGTTTCATGTCGTTATTTTCTCATTCCTAATGACAATAACCTGCTACAAGTATGATGTTCAGTTGTTGCACGAAACCGTTCTATGTGGAAAAATGGTACTTCTTAAACAAGATTCAGAGGGTTGAGATCTTCCAAGCAACCACGAAGGGACTTGAACCCTCAATCTTCTGATCAGAAGTCAGACGCCTTATCCTTTAGGCCACGCGGTTCTAGATTCAGTCAGTAGCTCCATTGAGAGAAGTTTTCAATTTTTTCTTACAGTACAAGGTTGATAATGTCAACAAAGAGGGTGTGGCCCGTACGGGGGTTGAACCCGTGACCTTGGCGTTATTAGCACCACGCTCTAACCAACTGAGCTAACCGGCCTTGGGATTCTAATGAAATTCATAGCATTATTTTTTCATTCCTAATGACAAAAACGTGCGATTATCAGTTGTTGCACCAAACGGTGATATGTGGAATAATCTAAAAAATGCAAGGGTAAAGATCGTTCAAGCAACCACAAAGGGACTTGAACCCTCAATCTTCTGATCCAGTTACCTTTGGGCTCAGTCAGTAGCTCCATTGAGAGAAGTTGTTTTTGTCTTCCATACATTAATAGCTTGATAATGTCAACAAGGCATTTGTGGCCTTCCGGGGGTTGTAAACCGCAATATTGTCACCGCGCTCAGAGCAAATCCTGTGCTGATTATTTGGTATTTAAAGTTTTCAATTTTTTCTTACAGTACAAGGTTGATAAAGTCAACACAGAAATTGTGGCCAGTACGGGGGCTGAACACGTGACCTTGGCGTTACAGAGCAAATCTTGTGCTGATTATTAGGTATTTAGAGTGGAGAGCTCTCAAGCAACCATGAAGGTACTTGACCGCTCCATCTTCTGATCTGAAGGCACACAACATACCCTTTAGGCCACACAGTACCAGCTTCCTTGGAGTTCATTCAGTAGCTCCATTGAGAGAAGTTTTCAATTTGTTCTTACAGTAGAAGGTTGATAACGTCAACTAAGAAGTTGT